AATTCTAGTCTCCTTTGAAAGCTTTTCAAAAACAATATATTAAATAATATTTTAGGTAATTTAAATAATGTTAAAAAGACTTATTTATGTAAATAAATAAATAAATAAAAATATAATATATATATATATATATTATTAAACTATTATAAAAAAATATTTATTAAAATAATAATCATAGTTTAAATTATAAAAATATATTTATTAATTATTAAAGTAAAATTAGTTAATTAATTATTATAAAAATAAAAACTGATTATTGAAAAAAAAAATATGACCTTATCTCTATGATTAAAATAATCATAATTTATATATATATATATATATATATATATATATATATATATATATATATATATATATATATAAAAGAGGGATAAGGCTAATCTCCTGAAGAGATAAGTATTATCCTAAGAAGTAATCATTAGTTATTAATGGGCTAATTAAATAAATAAAAAGAAAAAAAAATTGACTATAAAATGAGGTTCTAGGAGGGAGATGAAGTGTAGGAGAAAAAAAAAGGGGAGAAAAAGGAGAGATAGAAAAAAGGAGAGAGAAAAAGATAAATTACTTCTGTAAAATTTTGGTACATTTGCAATTCTTAAGGTATGGAGAAGAGATTATTATCATTTTATCTATTTTATTTTAATTATAATTATGGAGTAAGGTGTTCCTAACGTCATTCTATTTATTTTATTACTTATTTATTTATCTTCAACTACTTATTGATCTGCTTTACATTTATTTGTTTATCTCCAGTTATGTACTGGTCCTACTCATTTATTTATCTTTAGTCCTGTACTGATCTTATTTATTTATCTTCAGTCATGTACTGATCTTGTCTGTTTATTTTATTTTATCTCTAGTTATGCACTAGTCTTATTTATATTATTTAAATAATAATATCTATTTATGAAGATTTGATGATATTGTAGATGGAGGTTGAACCTTGAGGATTAAAATAAGTAAATATCACCTAGAGAATAATTAAAGTTGGACTTATTTATCCTAACTAGTCATTACAAATTTAATTTAAATCTTCATAATAAGGAATAAATTAAATATGTCGAGAAAGTTGAAAAATATATTTTATATATTATTATAAGGTGGTATTATTTTAAATAATAATTGTTTTCACTTTGTTATTGTTATTTATTGTGGATGTTACAACTAAAATATCAACATAAATAGATTGAAACATCAAGATGAAATATACTATCATTCAACCATTGTTAGAAAAACATTTTTTGTCAATTTTAATAATTATTTCTTATGTAAAAAGGATGTAAACTTGTAAAACTCACATTTTTATACATATAACTGCATAAACATTTATCTTATATCTTATTTTTGTCGAGACTTAATAGGAAGTAGTAATTTCTTAAAATATAGTTAACACCATGATAGAAAAAAACATCACAATATTGATTAAGTTTGACACTAAACTCATAAATAAAAATATTTATGTGAAGGAGTACAGTAGATAATTTAAACAGAAAGAGAGGCTGCCCATTTTGCATTTGGGTACGAATTGTGGAGGAGGAGATATGAGAATGAATTTGTAGAGACAGATTTGATGATTAAGGATGATAGTGGTGAATCTACGTCTAATTGAAACCCATAAATTACAAAGAGATTTGTAAGGAAAATTAGTTGAGATGTTATAATGTCTTTCATTATTCTTAACTGTTAGCACATAATTAATAATCAAATTACGTATGGAAATATAATAATTATATTTTTTTATGATTAAATATATTTTAATTGTGTAAAGTGTAAAGTGTAAAGTGTAAATTAAATATATGTTAATTTCTTAATTGAATATTATTTTGTACTACGAAAATTTAACGAAAACGAATATTAAAAGGGTTTGCATTCTGTAATTTAAATTTTGCTTAATAGACTTCAAATTTGTTTTCCGCTTTTAAATTTGTTCAATATTAAATTTTTTTTTCTTATAACACTAAAAGTTTTGAAAAATGTCTCATTAATAAAATGAAATGAATTTTTTTATATATTATTTTTATATTTAGAATATTGGATTGAGATTGTATATGTTATTCTTTGATGTATTTGTGATGATGAATTATAACTTGAGAAATAGTAAGAGATATTATCATATTTTGTGATGTGTATATGAATATTAATTTGAGACGGGATAAGATTACTTGATCCTATTAATCATTAAAAGCAAAAAAAAAAATGACAATATATAACGATTACATTGTTCTTATTATATACATATAATTGATTAAAATCTAAAAATAAAAATAATAATTTCAAATACAAAACATCTTAAACATTTCAAAAATTGCCACAAAGACAAGGAACGGAGTGTAAGTCAAAGAAGCACAGCATAATCGTTGAATTTAAAGAGACCAAATATAAAATGCGTGGTTTCTATAAGTAACAGTTAATTCCTGTTTGTTTGCTCTGCTATTAATAATAAATTTTGTTTTAAAAATAAAGAAAAATTTGAATAATTTATAAATAAATAAAAACTTATTTTTTAATATTTTAAAATTTTCAATTAAATATGATGTCATAATTTATTTTATATAAATTACTCATATTTAGATGATAATCTAATCTTTCCCTGTTAGCCATTTTAAAAATATAATGATGTTGATATACATAACTCCAATATATATAATTTATAATTACTACATATTTTAACCACTTAAAATACTTGTTTTTGTTGGAATGAAATTAGTTACTGTTTATGAAAAAGCTTAATTCCCATGAAGTTTCTTCGTAAACGAATTTTTGCATATAATTTGTGGTTTAATTTTTCATTATATCAATAAGTGTTATACATTTTAGTAATTATCGGAAATAAAAAAAAATTGTCTCTAAGTAGATGGAGTTAATAAATTTGAGTTTAAAATTAATCATAAAGGAATCAATGTAGCATTGGTTAGCAATTATATCTTCTTTTAAAATAAAAGATGAAAAATGAATACAACCCTTGAATCAATTAGACATGTCTTATGTTGTATAAATGTAAAAGTATACAATTATAATAAATATGAGATTAGAAAAATATTGATTATATATATATATATAATATCACTTATTGGAAGTATATAAATTAAAATAAAATTATTATCTTAACAAATGCATTATTTTTCCATTACAAAATATCCTAATTTTTTAGGGAAAATTAATGATAAGATAACTAATATTAATTTGATTAAAAACTGAGAACATGAGTCAAATTTGATTATTTTCTTCAAAAAATATAACTAAAGTTTTAATATTAAATTTTGGTACGACAATTAATTGTTAAATATAAAAGATTAATTTTATTTCTAAATAAATAATTTAAGTATAATTTTTTACAGTTAAATTTTTTCGTTGTAGAACTTTTAATAAACAATTTTTATAAGAACTCGTTTGTTTCAATAGCAATATAATAGTCTGGAGTTTCTTAACTTAAACAACACAACAATATATTTTTATTAGGACTATAATTAATGAATTTAACTTTCATGCATATCATTAATTAATATAAATAATTCAATATTATGAATTTATTTTTAAATCCTTTTAAATATGAATTTCAAAACAATTTCTACAATAATCAACAACTGTACAAAACAATGTGGATAGTTTATACAAGTTGAATGAAATATCAATTTTAACGTTTATTGCGTTGGCATGATTTTGAAGGTCTTTTTGTTTTGTTCCTACAAAGTCGTGTACGGGACCATGCCACTTGATATACAATTTTCATATTTATTGTTTAACTTAATTGAGAACTTGGATTCATTTCCAAGTTTTTGTTTTTTTCTTTTGCAATTTCATGAAAATGTCTACATTTTAATTTATTGTTTTATGGAATGCGATTGTAAAGCCATTTTGTAAGTCTTTGGTCTTTATTTTTTGTTTTCTAACAAAGTCATATGTATAAGGGGCCATGAAGACAATTATACAATTGATAAAATATGATTTTCACTATATCTAACTATCAGGATTACAAATCATAAATACATATGAAAATTAAGAAAAAATTCTTATCACTCAATAAAATTAACCATTATTTCTAAATTTATTGAAAAAGGATTTTGACATAAGATGACCGTTTTAAATATATCTTATGGATAGTTTATTATTAATTTATTAATTATTAAAGATAGTTATAACAATGTTATTATATTTTTTTAATCATCATAGGTTATTAAATGAAAACAAATATTTTACATTTAATTTTAAATTAGAGATGCTAATTTTTTTTTCGATTGAAGAAAAAATATCAAATTTAAAATTGATGAACCAAAAAACTTTTAAATTTGGGAACTAAAATAAACTTTGAATTAAATTTGATAGATTAAAAATATAATTTAGCCAAAATTTTCACAAATAAATTTTCATTTCTTTATTTTAGTTATAATATGACTGTTATTAAAAATAATTATAACACCGTTAGCATTTATTGACAAAAAAAAAACATTTTCTAAAATTTAAGAAAAAAATTATTTTAACAGGGAGAAACTAAAAGAAAAAAATGATGTTCAAGACTAAAATCATTTTTAAACTAAAAACAAAGACAGAAAAACAATAAATATGATAAACAATTTCCTTTATGTTAACAAAACTTAATAAAAACTAATTTTAATATAAAATTTAAATTTGTAAAAAATGGAATAGGAATAATATCTTAGTTTCTCTGGAAAAGATAAATTGATATATGGTCATGATAAATGTTTTTTCTGGCTTGTATTTTAGTCTTTTTTTTTTTAAGCTTGCAATCACAAAACTGTTTTTCCATTTCAAGTGGTGATGATCAGTTCCGTAATTAACAAGCCAAAGTCGTTTTCATTGTACTTTTCTTTGTAATTAGAGACTTATGAAGTCGTCGCTACGTCTTTTTTGTTGTACATAGTTTGGTCGGTTATGATGAGCATGGAATGGATGCATGAAATGTTATACATATGGTTATTCAGTTTGTCATGATAACAAACACAACATCAATGAGGAATCCAGTTTGTTTCAGGTTGACGATGATGTTTATGGTGTGTCTGGTGTTGCGGGTTGTTTTTGGTGCAGAGGAAATAAGATGCATACCAGAGGAGAGGGAAGCACTCCTCCAGTTCAAGAGTGCCCTTGTGGATCGCTATGGCATGCTCTCCTCTTGGACCACTCCTCACTGTTGCCAATGGGAGGGGATTCGCTGCAGCAACCTCACCGCCCATATTCTAAGCCTCGACCTTCACGGAGAGGTTCATTATGAAACTTCTTTCAATTTTTACATTGAATTTATGTCAGAACGTTTTATCAGTGGAGAGATCCACAGGTCGTTGATGGAGTTGCGACAATTGGAATATTTGAACTTGAGTTCCAATTCTTTTAGAGACAGCAATATTCCAGAGTTTCTTGGTTCTTTGAGAAACTTGAGATACCTTGATCTTTCATCATGTGATTTTGACGGAAAAATTCCAAGCCAGTTTGGGTTTATTTCTCATTTGAAATACTTAAATCTTGCTGATAATTTTTTGGAGGATTCAATTCCTCGCGAACTTGGAAATCTCTCCCACTTGCAGTATCTTGATCTCAGTTTCAATGATTTGAAAGGGAATATTCCAATTCAACTGGGAAATCTCTTCCAATTGCAGCATATTGATCTGAGGCACAATTATTTTGTGGGAAATATACCAAGTCAGCTTGGAAACCTTTCAAACTTATACAAGCTCTATATTGGAAACGATGGTACTCTCAAAGTTGATGATGGAGGCCAGTGGCTATCTAATCTCATTTCTTTAACCCATCTTTACTTGGATTCCATACCAAATCTTAATCATTCTCATAATTGGCTGCAAATGATTGGCAAGCTACCAAAACTAAGGGAACTAAGTTTACGAAATTGTGGCCTTTCTAATCAATTTTTTCTTTCGTCGAGGCCATCTAAATTCAATTTTTCTACTTCCCTCTCGGTCCTTGATCTTTCCCAGAACACCTTAACGTCACCAATGATATTTGAGTGGGTGTCAAACTTCACTTTCAACCTTGTTGAGCTTCAGCTTACTGATAACCTCTTGGAGGGTTCCATACCAAATCACTTTGGTTTGACAATGAATTCACTCAAGTACCTTTACCTTTCATCTAATAGATTCAAGGTTGAGGTTTTGCAATCTTTCATGAATATATGCACGTTAAATTCTTTAAAGATAGCTTCCAACAGTTTGAACCAGGATCTTCCATCAATTCTTCATAATTTGTCTAGTGCTTGTGCTAGATATTCTCTGCAAGAATTGGATCTGGTGGCATTTAATCAAATAAATGGTTCTTTCCCGGATTTCTCAATATTCACATCTTTGAAAATGCTACATCTTTCTGGAAATCAATTAACTGGGAAGATACCTGAAGGCATATTACCATCTCGGTTGGAGTCACTGTCAATCGAATTCAACCTTCTTGAAGGTGGAATTCCAAAATCATTTGGGAACGCATGCACTTTACGCTCATTGGACGTCAGTTCTAATAGGTTGAGTGGAGAGCTTTCAGTGATAATTCAGCAATTGTCCGGATGTGCTAAAAACTCGTTACAAGATTTGAAGTTGGGAGGAAATAAGATCAATGGTACGTTCCCTGACCTTTCAAGATTTTCAACCTTGAAAATATTGGATCTTTCAGAAAATCAATTAAGTGGAAAGATACCAGAAGATAACAAATTGTCATCTCAATTGGAGTCATTGTCAATTAGTTCAAACACTTTAGAAGGTGGAATTCCAAAATCATTTGGAAATGCATGTGCTTTGCGATTATTGGACATGTCTAACAACAACTTAAGTGAAGAGTTTCCATTGATAATTCATAACTTGTTTGGATGTACTAGAAATTCATTGGAACACTTACGTCTAGGCATGAATCAAATCAATGGAACGTTACCTGATCTCTCAATTTTCTCGTCTTTAAAAAGTTTAAATGTTGCTGGAAACAAGTTAAATGGGGAGTTTCCTAAAGATATTCAATTTCCTCCTCAATTGGAAGAACTGTATATGCAATCAAACTCCTTGAAAGGTGTGCTAACTGACTACCATTTTGCTAATATGTCCAAGTTATATTCGTTGGAGTTATCTGACAACTTATTATTAGCCTTGACATTTACCCCAAATTGGGTTCCACCGTTTCAGTTAAGGTATATAAGATTGCAATCTTGCATGCTTGGTCCAAGATTTCCCAAATGGTTACGAACACAAAATGAGTTTAGTGATTTGGACATTTCGAATGTTGGAATATCAGAAACGGTTCCAAAATGGTTTTGGACTAAATTAGCATCGCGAAAATGGATTTCAATGAATATTTCATGCAATAATCTACATGGCATAATTCCATATTTTCCAATAAAGAATCCTTATTCATCCCTAATTCTTGGATCAAATCAATTTGAAGGCCCTATTCCCCCATTTCTTAGAGGTTCCACATTGCTTGATTTATCCAACAATAGGTTTTCAGGATCTCTTTCATTTTTATGTGTGGGTAGCACAATTGGAATATTATACCAGTTAGATATTTCAAATAATAAGTTGTCTGGACAAATTCCAGATTGTTGGAGCCGTTTCAAGTCATTAGCTTATTTAGATTTGAGTCATAATAATTTTTCAGGAAAGATTCCTACTTCAATGGGATCCCTTTTTGATCTTCAAGCATTGTTTTTGAGAGACAACAACTTAACCGATGAAATCCCTTTCTCTTTGAGGAGTTGCACAAAGCTAGTGATGGTAGATATGGCAGAAAACAATTTATCAGGATCTATCCCTGATTGGGTTGGGAGCAAATTAGAAAACTTGCAATTTTTAAGTTTACAAAGGAATCATTTCCAAGGAAATTTACCATTGCAAATTTGTTACTTAAGACACATTCAACTCTTGGATCTCTCACTGAACAACTTTTCTGGGCGAATTCCTGAATGTATAAAAAATTTTACTTCAATGACTCAAAAGACATCTTCAAGTGATTATGTATATCATTGGTATAGAGTTGAGACCAAATATTTGTATAGCCCTCAACACTATGATTTGAATGCACTCTTGATGTGGAAAGGGTCGGAAAAACCTTTTAAGAATAATGGGTTACTACTCCTAAAAAGCATTGATCTCTCAAGCAATAACTTTTCAGGAGAAATTCCAGTAGAATTGGAGATTTTATTGGAATTGGTTTCGTTGAATTTATCAAGAAACCATTTGACAGGAAAAATTCCTTTGAACATTGGCAAACTTGCATCCCTTGAATTTCTTGATTTGTCAAGAAACCAACTAGTTGGTTCAATTCCTACAAGTCTAACGCAAATTTATCGACTCACCATGTTAGATTTGTCACATAACCATCTAGCTGGAAAAATTCCAACTGGTACACAATTACAAAGTTTCAATGTCTCGAGTTTTGAAGATAATCTCAATCTATGTGGGCCACCACTTGAGAAAGTGTGTTTTGAAAGGGGACCAACACAGAAACCAAATGTTGAAGTTCATGACGATGACTATTCTCTTTTGGATCGTGAATTTTACATCAGTATGGCAGTTGGATTTGTTATAAGCTTTTGGGGGGTGTTTGGCTCAATTTTATTCCACCGTTCTTGGCGATATGCTTATTTCAGATTCTTGAATAAGTTATCAGACAATATTTTTGTTGCAGTGCTGGCTAACAAAATACAAAGGTGACTGAAGCTTAGCAGGTAATAATACTGTACCCCTTTCATCTATCGTTGCTTTTACTTTTCATATACTTGATGTACATATATAACCATTGATATTCGATACGTGTTCATCTTAAAAAAAAAATTATATCGTGAATGTTTTTGTTATAAACTATTGCTATTTTTATCTACAATTAACCTTTTTTATCATTATAGCCTCATATTTGTCCCTAATACTTATGATATTTTAAATTTAAAAATGATATTTTCTTATTTGTAAATAATAACATTTTCTTTTGTTTCAATTTTCAGTCCCTTGAAGATCCATCTCATGTATGATTCCATTATTTGAGCTTGTTAATGTATGGAGAAGGAGATAACAAGGAAGGTTGTGGCTGATAAAAGCAAGATCATTTCTTTCATGTAAATTGGATACTTTCATGAAAATGTTCATTTTCATCTTATCGAACTCTGAACCTGTAGCTGCATACTACAACTCATTTGACAAAATTTGTTTAAAAAATAACACGATCAAACGCGTACTCTTATCTTTGTTACAAAATATAACAATAAAATATTATTAAACTGACAAAAAAATATTATATATTACAACAAAATTTTTAACCCGTCTATTCGGGAGTTATTTGCCACCATGCCTGTTTTCTAATAGTGTTAATACACCTGAGCATGTGTGGTGGTGATGTAGTGTTTTGATTTTAATTGTCTTTTATTTGCTTTCGTCAGATTTAATTATATTTATAATTTAAAAATATCTATTTGTGACTTAACAAATTTACATTTGGATGAGGATGAATAGAAAAACTTTGCTCTTTTTTAAATTGAAGAACTTTTGTAATGTAACAGAAAAAGCTTAATTAAAGGACTTGTCATGAATGCCATATCAAAAGGATAGGGCAAAGAAATACGGAAAAGATTGATCTAGGCACAGTAATTACATTAATTAGATCAGTTGAATGAATAATTTTAGCCTTTTTTTTCTTCTTCTTTGATCTATTACACACATTGATATTTAATAAAAACATTTATTTATATGGAAATATTAGTGTTAGCAACAAATCTTTTTTATTTGTAAGCTCTTCATTATTTGATGAAAATGAGCAAAGAAATATTTGAGACAATTATGAAGACGGTCCAAGACTTACAAATTTCAAGGTGGTATTTTTTTCTCTCTCCAAAGTTATGGTAGGAGATTAAGAATTACAAATAGGTCAATTTGTCTTTTATTCATACAAAATAAAGTAGAGTATGAATTGACTCATTATAATTACGATAGATTATAAATTTTAATCCACTTGTAAAAAGTGAAAGGATGAATTAGTAAATCAATATATTTTTTTTATATATTTTTAAAAAATATATATTTAATTATATGAATAATTTTTAAGTGTTTATTTTAATATTTTTATTAGATAAATTAAAAAAATTATTATATTTACATGTTAAAATAATTAATTATAATCAATAATTTAAATTTAACTAATTAATATTTATAATATATATTATAATATACTTAAATAAAAAAAATAATACTTTTAATTTAATTTTAATAAATATTTTTTTAAAATGGATCCATTCGTTTTACGAAATTAACAAGCTAAATAGAATAAGATAAAATAGACTAATAGGTTAAAACTAATAATTTGTTCCACGGATTAACCAGTCAGTTTCGGTTAGCCTATAAGACACGGGAAGCCATGTGGAACACGTTAGCTTCTGCAATAACTGCAACGAGCAAAATTGTGTTAAATGTGGCTTCAAGATAACATACTTAACATTCTAAATTTGCAATTCCAATTATTACATTAAAAAATTTGACATATAATATGAATCAAGGTAATGAATTCAGTGAACTTTCAAAGGTGACAAATTTCATATTTTGTGATGAAGCTCTGATGCTTCCAGTTATACCAAGAGTTGGCGATCCGATATTATGAATAATGCATGGTTCATATCTTCGGGACTTCTATCAAGTTCTAAGATTCACAAAGGTCATGCGTTTAGAAATGGTAATTATGCTAAAATAGAGATTCTAGTGAATTTATAATGTTTATATTGATCCCATTGATAACACCTATCCAAATATGGATCAACTATACAATAATCAAAAGTTCTTACAAAGTTGAACTATCTTAATTAGTATCATAAGTTCTTACAAAGTTGAGTTTGATTCTTGGTGATGAGAAACAGTATATAAACTTTGACACGACTGATATATCTGACGAAGTGAACAATACACCTTTTCAAACTTTTTTTTTTTTTCTTTTTTCTTTCATTTATAGTGACGTTCACATCATTTAATAGTTAACACTAGTTTTCTACATTTTCCTAACGGGTTATAAGTGAGAAATAATATCTTAAATTTTGGGTTGAAAATCATATTCTATTATAAGTTTAACTAATGATCCATATGTAAAAGTCCCTCGGAAATACCAAACAGCTTAGTAAACTCAAATTTTTGTTACCAGGAAAAAAAAAAAAAAAAAAAAACAACTTTTGTGTACAATTACTTTGATTTATTTACTTGGTAGATAAGGACAGGGTTGTTGGTAGTTTCTGTTACGATTTTCCGGAATAAAACCTCTGCAAAATGGTATATTTTGGCTTTGGTATGAAAAGATTGAGCTAGAGTAGAGGTGTGGAACATCCCACAAGCCTTTTGAATGCAACTTGATCTCTGACATATGCTCTCTCTCTCTAGAAAGTCTACATACGTGTGACTATTCTGTTGGTTGAAGTGTTGATGGGATATAGTTTAAGTGGGAAAATGTTTCTGAACTGCTTGAAAAGAAACATAGTATAACATTGTGAGAGATAATTGATTTAATTTTGATTTATCCGATAGAATTTAAGTGTGAATTGAAATATCTCCAATAAAAATAGTGAAGATGAATAATATAGGTGGAAAAACTTACAATTATTGTTTAAAGTACTGTGTTGAAGGTAATATTATTTTTTCTTGCGTGTTTATCTTGCGTCCTTTCAATAAATCCAATAACAGTGTTAATCATTGTTTCCGTGCAATGTATTTTGAAAAAAATGTAAAATCAAAGCAAATTTTTGGTTGAGTTGCTGGTCTCTCACCTGATTCATTCAGTACAAGGGTTTCTTCCATATTGTAGTATTTGGCCAATTGTAGGCAGAAGAGAGTTCTTCCATCTGACTTGAACCTGCTACCTTCAACTGGGACTTGTGAGTTGAAGGATGATATCCAGTTATTTAGCAGATCAGTTTTGTTTTATTATCACAAATCCTTCGACATAATCAAAAGCTTTTCTGCAAATATTAGTTGCTCTTGGTCTCTAGTGAATGTTGTGAAATATGTATCCAGCACCTTGATCCTTATCTGTTCGAAAAACAGAAATACTCCATGATCACAACTTACAGGAGGATTCCTTTTGTTCTCCCTTTCTGTGAAAACATATGTAAACTTATCTGAATAATATATTGGTAAACATATTTCGACAATTCACTCATTCATTACCATGTTTACGAGCCTGAATCGAAATGGAACATTACATTCATCATAGTCTATGGCAGCTATTAATCCAAGTAAAATTCCAGTTATTTTTACAAAGATGTCTGGTACGAATGCTAGTCTCCATCCGAGAAGTTAGACACAGTAAAATTTGCTGCATCAGTAGCATCAATAACATGATGCTCAGACCAGTTCACTTGTTTGCCAGTGTTTGATCCAGAAACCATGTTATCATGATCTGGGTAGTGCAACGTGCTGAGTGCAAAATTCTCATTCCCTTCATGCCAATCAGCAGGAGCTATCAAACTATCTATGAAAGACTACATATATAATTACCCAGTGTTACAGTTGAATTTAATTCTGTTTTTCTTAAAACAAAATTTGAATAGCATGATCATGACCTGAGAAATAGAAACGACAAACTCATAAATAGGTTTACAATGGATAAATATGTTGTCTAGATATGCACCAAGTAGTTTTTCTCATGATGATGATCACCGTATATTTTTGGAATCACCTTCAAAAACATGAGATAATTATATATTATTTTTTTATTATCAAATTGACACTAGTGAAATGACTTGCATATGAGTATGTGATCTTTTGTATATCTTCATGGTGATGTTTTTTATATCCTTTATGCGATCTTCTAAGACTCTCTTCAGGTTGATATCTTTTGTATTTATGTTTATACTAGAAAAGTATATTCGTCTCAATTTTTTTCTATCCAAAACACAGGCCATCAGTAAGAATAATGCAATGAATAGGGGTAAGAAAAAAATAATCGCATAAGATGGATCAACTTTGCTAGAGTTCGAGTTAAATTGGTATTAGACTTTGCTTATGTATCATTTTTACATTTAATATTTCACATTAATATATTTTACTATTAATTTTTAATTTTAATTAATAGAGTGCTAAGAAAAAGGATAGAGAAGATATGAGCAGGACTTAAATGTTTATAGCATAATATTGGCCACAACCTGTGTAAATACTAGATTACACCCATTTAGGCGACCATTGCTTCGCCGAAGTGAGCAACGTCTAACCCATTGCCTCTTTGTTAAAGTGATGCTTGTTTGAATGAAGAGTGAACGGTTTAACTGGATAATGCTTAAACGAACATAACAACGCTTAAGTTCTACTCGCTTAAATGACTTAGAAGACGCTTCAATAACAAAATTGTAAATGTAACGTTTAGTTGAATGTACGCTTAAGTGAGTACTTCAAGCTTTTCTTTTATCTTTTAAGAGATTGCAATTAAGTTGAATTTGGTGACAAAACCGAGTTTTCACGATAATGTTTAATGAGTTTGTAACAGTGGTTATGTCATCACAATTTGTGAATGCTGAAAATGTCATTACAAAATTTTTATGATGCCAAAATTTGTGATGATTTTGATTGTCGTCACAAAAGAAAATTATAGTGTGAATCACTTTTTCAAAGTTTTCAATATATTTTATTTCATTTTATATTTAAAAGATTTGAATTATTTTTATAATGACTAGTCAAGATAAATAAATCAAAAATTAATGATTCTTTATTATACATTTTAATTTTTAAGATTCAATTTTGTCTGTTACAATGTCATCAAATTTTCTTAAAAGTTCTTTAAGAAAAATTTAAAGACAAATTAAATAATATAAATATAAATTAATAATGATTTGTGTAATTAAAAATAAAATAAATAAATAAATTAAGAGAACCAATACATAATTAGACATAAACTAAATAAATAAATAAAGTGATTATGACTAGAGATAAATTAATTAAATAAATATATTGAATAACAATGATCAATATAACTAAAGATAAATTAAACAAATAAAAAGAATTAATGTATAATTAGAAATAAATTAATTAAATAAAAATGATTAATATATAATTGTATATAAATTAAATAAATAAAAAAGACCCAAGATAAAAAAGGCATGTACATGTTTAAAGATACATTAAATATAAAAAATAAATAAAATAAAATTAGAAACACATTACACAATTATAATTTATAAAATAAACAAATAGAAGAAAATTTGAGATATTTTATTGAATAATCCTAACTATAAATAAAATAAAATAAAAAGAATAATAGACGACACATTTTCTTAACTTAACAATTGTAAATAATATCCTAAAATTGGACAAAAAATTCTTACATATTTTTATTTCTCTCCCTTTCTCTTTCTCTTTTATCTCTTTTCTCAATTTCTTTCTCCATCTTCTTCTCGTTCTCCCTTGTAAAATTTTCTTACCACCCACATCTATACAGTAGTTTAATTATTTTTTTTTCACTTATACATTAAATGCCATTAATTTCTAGCTTGACCTTTTAAAAAAAACTAATTATCTATTCTTCTAATATATAAGTCTATCTAATTAGTTTTTTTTAATAATTATTTATTATTATTTTAATAATAATAATTTTTTAAATATTTAAATTATCTAAAAATATTAGTTTAATAATCATATTTGAAAACCATATAACATGATAAGGGATTGTAATTTAATAGGATATATTCTAAAGGATTAGAGAATTTCATGATGAGGATTGATGACAATGTTGAAGGAAAAAAATATATTTAATGAGCTTAATAAACTAAGTGGGTGAGATGATAAATTCTAATCCCAACAATATTCATATATTTATTTGTATTTAACCTGACTTTCTTTAGTCTAAAAATATTTGTTGAGTTTTAGTATTGTTCTAAAAAATCAAATATTATAGTTTTAGTTTTTTATTGCTCTAATAACTTCTGTTTCCTCCTATCTGTAATCTAAAATTTCACGAGAATCTTAGTACTTAATCTTTAAAAAGAACATAGAAAATTGATGAATATTTATAAAAAAAAACTTTTCATTTTAGCCCTTTATATATAAAATTTTCTAAGCAGTTTTATATTCATAATCATCTCATCAAGTGGTTACACTCTACAAGAAATTTTAATATTATCGACGGTCAAAATAAATATTTTACTTATATAGCTTATTTATTATTAGATTAAGAGAATTGTCACTGACAGTGATTCAAACCCAGACCTTAGAGTTAGAGGCTGATAATCTAACCACTAAGCTACCAGAATTTTTTTATAATAATATACAAATAAATTATATTTATATATTTATGTATTTATGTATTTATATATTTATGTATTTATATATTTATATATTTATATATTTATATTTTATATATTTATATTTTATATATTTATATTTTATATATTTATATTTTATATATTTATATATTTATATTTTATATATTTATATATAATTAAATATTTATTTTTTAAAATTATTTAATTTAAGAAATTATTATAAATTAATCTAATTATGATTAAATTAAATTATTAAATAAAAAATATTTAATTTTTTAATTAGGTGAATATTTACTAATTGTTAATTTACCGACGGAAATATCCGATCGGTAATTATAGATGAATTCGTCGGTAATTAATTGTTAATTTATCGACAGATTTACCGACGGATATATCCGTCTGTAAATTCATCCGTGAATTACCGATGAATTTATCGACGGATATATCTGTCTGTAACTAATTATTATTTTACCGACGGATATATCCGTCGGTAAGATCAAATTCCACCAATATTTTATATACGTCAGTAATTTCCGTCGGTAATAATTATTTTCCGATGGTTACAAATCCATCGATAAATATTCGTCGGTAATAAGCGATTTTCTATTATGATTTTGACATGTCATTAACCTTTTTTCTTAATTCACTTGATATATATTATTCTAATTACTTCAATATTTTAAATATGTAAACACTATCTTTTTTTCTAAATAGGAATTTTATTCATTTTCATGTACAAGTTTAGGAGAATTAACATTCTTTGTGTTTTTTTTTCTTTTTTCAAAATTTTAGGCACATTTAGGAAACTAGTATTTCATTGTTTGAAGATGCACTTTTGAAGAAAAAGACTATTCATCTATTAGCGTTGTGCATTTAATGAATTATAAATTATCATGTCTTTTTAATTCAAAGTTCGGTTTGACTAATAAATAGTTAAAGATATTTCAGATATTTTGACTAGCATCTTATTTTCAACTTTGCATGAAAATACAAGTATTAATTATTTCTATAGCTCATGAAAATGACAAATTATAGTTAATTAAAAAGTAAAACATCAACAATATTTATGAAAAAAAATAAACGAATCTAATGCTTTAACCTCTTAGACAATGACTTGTTCTGTATAAATTAGCAAATATGCAATTATAATAAATTACCCAGATTGCAAAAATATTTATTTTTTATATACTATATTTAGTACATGTAGGAGATTTGTTTTTTTTTTTTTCAATTTTTGCATTTTTTTAATATTATATACATTTTTAATTACTTTATATGTTAAACAGATTATTACTTTGATGGGTTGACGAGAGACTTTTCAAGTCTTCCCTCTAAAATATAATAGTCTTGAATTGATGTAAAACCGAATACAATACTTGATAAATGAATTAAATGTTAAATTGACATACCACTAATTCAACCACTTGGACAAAGTCATATTTTATTTTTAAAACCAATTTTAGAGATTCATTTTGAAAATAATAATATAAATAAGTAAAAACCGTCATAAAAAATAGAAAATAATTTTAGAAAAATTATAATAAGTTTTTTATATTAAAATTGAGTTATTATTTATAAATGTATTAAAATTTTAGATATTTTTTTACAGTGTAGGAATACGGCAGCCTCGTCCATTTTTTTTTAAATTTGAATGTTATATTTTGCTATCGATTTATTATTAGATTTTAATATATATGTGACGGGTTGGCGGAGATTTTAAATTAAAAAAAAAGTTTAGATAGTTAAATTGTTTTAAGTGCATAATTCAATTAAATGATAATATTTATTATTTTATACTAAAATAAATTACTACTTATAATTTACTTTTATTATTATGTTTAATTTGAAATAGAGAAATGTTTCCTTATAACCTAAACATCATCATACAATTGATTATTCTAATATAATAGTATTATTTAATGTTATATTAACTTTAAATATTTTACGAACAAGGAATGTAACATTACTTTTTTTTTCATTTATTTTTGAAGTCGTTCTTTTTTTTATTAGTTTTTATCAGCATGGATGTATGCATGAGTTTATATAGACGGTGCTCTCAGGAGTGCACTCATCAATCACTTTGCCTTTGTCATGATAACAAACACAATATCAATGAGGAATCCAGTTGGTTTCGGATTCATCATGTTTATGGTGTGTCTGGTGTTGCAGGTTGTTCATGGTGAGGAGGAAATAAGATGCATACCAGAGGAGAGGGAAGCACTTCTCCAATTCAAGGGTGCCTTTGTGGATCGCAATGGCATGCTCTCATCTTGGTCCACTCCTCACTGTTGCCAATGGCAGGGGATTCGCTGCAGCAACCTCACCGCTCACATTCTAAGCCTCCTCCACCTGCATGGAGAGATGGATGATTATGAATATATGTTATCTCGTAGCCTTCTCTCGCAACGATATATAAGTGGAAAGATCCACAAGTCATTGCTGGAGTTGCGAGAATTAGAGTATTTGAACCTCAGTTCCAATTCTTTTTCAAACAGTCACATCCCAGAGTTTCTTGGTTCTCTAAGAAACTTGAAATACCTTGATCTCTCATCATGTGGTTTTGGCGGAAATATTCCAAGTCAGTTTGGGTCTCTTTCTCATTTGAAATACTTGAATCTTGCTTGGAATTCTCTGGAGGGTTCAATCCCTCGTCAACTTGGAAATCTCTCCCGATTAGAACATCTTGATCTTGGAGGCAATTCTTTGAAAGGAAACATACCTTCCCAACTCGGAGATCTCTTTCAGTTGCAGTATCTTGATCTTCGGTACAATTTTGAAGGAAATATACCATCTCATCTTGGGAACCTTTCAAACTTACAAGAGCTCTATCTTGGAGGATATCATGATACTCTCAAAATAGACAATGGAGGTCAGTGGTTAACAAATCTTTTCTCTTTAACCCATCTTTTCATGGAGTGTATTTCAAATCTTAATCATTCTCATAGTTGGTTTCAAGTGATTGCCAAGCTACCAAAATTAAGGGAACTAAGTTTAGTTGATTGTAGCCTTTCCGATCACTTCATTCTGCCATGGAGGCCTTTCAAGTTCAATTTTTCTGCTTCTCTCTCGGTCCTTCGTCTTTCTGAGAACACCTTCACCTCACCGATGATATTCCAGTGGGTGTCGAATATTTCTTCCAACCTTGTTGAGCTTGACCTTAGTGGTAACCTCTTGGAGGGTTCCACATCAGGTCATTTTGGTATAGTCATGAATTCGCTTAGACACCTTGATCTCTCCTCCAATAGGTTCAAGGGTGGGGATATGAAATCCTTCGCGAATATATGCACCTTACATTCTTTAAACATGAATGAAAATAATTTGATTGAATCTCTCCCTTCCATTCTTCATAATTTGTCTAGTGGTTGTGCTATACACTCATTACAAGAATTGGATCTCAAATATAATTACATCACAGGCACTTTACTTGATCTATCAATATTCTCATCTCTAAAAACATTGCTTCTTGATGGAAATGATTTGAATGGAAAGATATCTAAAGATGTCAGGTTACCATCAAATTTAGAGATTTTGTCAATGAGCTCAAACTCCATAGAAGGTGGAGTTCCAAAATCTTTTGGGAATGCATTGTTAGTATTATGGTGCTTGATTTAGTCCCACATCGATTAGGATTGTGAGATGAGGTTCTCTATTTTGTTATATAAGCAACCCTATGTAAAGTTTGAGATACACACAGAAATAAAAATACTTCCTAGTGTAGTCGTGGACGTAGGCATACATATTTTAGCCGAACCACGTTAAAATTCTTGTGTCGTTTATTTTTCTCTCCTTCATTCTTTCCTTTATTATTGTCTTGTTCCTAACAATTGGTATCAAGAGCCAATTTTCTTAGTATGCTCTGTGGTTGTAGCTTTGTCTCGATCTTCCACATCGAAAAGATTTGGTCTTTTTTCTTGGGAATCTCAGCTTAGAGAAGCAGTGGGAGCTTTCTTCGAAAGCGAGTGAGAGCAATGGCATTGGAAGAAGGAAAGGTGAGGATCGAGAAGTTCGATGGCGGTGACTTCGGGTTCCGGAAGATGCAGATGGAAGATTATCTCGTATCGGAAGAAGTTGTATCTACCCTTGACAGGCGTGAAGCCAACCGACATGGAGCGAGTCGAATGGGAGTTGTTAGATCGGCGGACGCTTGGTGTGATCCGACTGACATTAGCCAAGAATGTTGCGTTCAACATCATGAACGAAAAGACAACCGTAGATTTGATGCGGGCGTTGTCAAATATGTATGAGAAGCCCTCTCGCAACCAATAAAGTGCATTTGATTCGCAGGCTAGTCAACCTCAAAATGGGTGAAGGTAACTCTGCTACTAATCATATTAGTGAATTTAATGCAATTATTGCGCAGTTGACATCGAGTGCAGATAATATTTGATGATGAGGTGAAAGCATTAATTTTATTATCATCTCTACCGGAAAGTTGGGGTGCAATCATGCATCGCAGTAAGTAATTCGCAAGCAATAACAAGTTGAAGCTTGATAACATCCGTGACTTGATCTTAAGCGAAGATGTTCGCAGGAAAAATTCGAGTAGAATCTTTCGGTTCTAATTCGAGTTCAAGCATTGAGTACCGAAACTAGAGGAAGAAGTCGCTGTAAAGGTCGTAATCAAGGCCGAGGCAGATCAAAATCCAGAGGGAGATCACAAGCAAAAGTCCGGAATGATATCACTTGTTGGAATTGTCGAAAAAGGGCCACTTTTCAAATCGAGTGTAGGGCTCCAAAGAAGGACAACAACAACAACAAGAAGCAAGATGATGATCAATCAACGAAATGCAAGAATCGATGAAGTTGAAGATGCACCGTTATGTAGTTTAGATAATTCTATTGACTCATGGATTATGGACTCAGAGTGCGTCATTTCATACTACACCTTCCTTAGAACTATTATCTAACTATGTTTCGGAAAGTTTGGGAAGGTCTACCTTGCAGATGGAAAATCTCTTGATATCATAGGAAGAGGTGATATTAACATCGGAACCTCTAATGGAAACGTGTGGACTTTGAATAATGTCGGACATATTCCAACCTTAAAGAGAAACTTAATATCTATAGGGCAGCTTGGATGATGAGGGACATTACACCACTTTTGGAGATGGACATTGGAAGGTAATGAAAGGTAATCTTGTTGTTGCTCGTGGAAAGAAGCAAGGATCTCTCTACATGATTGCAGATGAGGATATGATATCGGTTGCAGAAGTTGGCAACAATTCCTCCTTATGGCATCGAGGCTTGGGCATATGAGTGAGAAAGGAATGAAGCTCATGATATCAAAAGGTAAAATACCTAACGTGAAGCATGTTGACGTTGGACCTTGCGAACATTGTATCTTTGGAAAGCGAGAAAAAGGTTAGCTTCTCAAAAACAAGTAAGTCGTCTAAAGTTGAAAGACTAGAACTAGTGCATACGAGATGTTTGGGGGCCAGCTTCAGTGAAATCCCTTGGAGGTTCACAATATTATGTAACCTTCATTGATGACTCTACAAGAAAGGTATGGGTTTATTTTCTTAAAAATAAATCGATGTGTTTTCTGTGTTTAAAAGGTGGAAAAAGGAGGTTGAGACTCAAACAGGTTTAAAGGTCAAATGTTTGAAGTCCGATAATGGTGGAGAATATGACAAGTAGTCAATTCAAGGAGTTTTGTTCGGAGAATGGGATCGGAATGATCAAGACAGTTCCAGGAACACCGGAACAAAACGGTGTGGCGGAAAGAATGAACAAAACCTTGAATGAGAGAGCAAGATGTATGAGAATCCAGTCAGGATTACCCAAGGTATTTTGGGCGAGATGCAATAAACACAGCGACCTATCTCATAAACAGAGGACCATCAGTTCCTTTAGACTATAAGTTACCCGAAGAAGTATGGTCCGGAAAAGAGGTAAATCTTTCACATCCGAAAGTTTTTGGTTGTGCTTCATATGTTATGTTAGACTCTAATAGTAGAGATAAATTGGACCCTAAGGCAAAACGTTGTTATTTCATTGGTTATGGATCTGACATGTTTGGCTACAGGTTTTGGGATGACCAAAACAAGAAAATTATCGAAGTAGAAATGTTACTTTTAATGAAAACATGTTCTATAGAGACGAGGATTGCAGAATCTGCAAATGTAAATAAACAGACTAGAGCAAGTATCATTAGAAGAAATTTCAGAAAGTGATGTAGTCAACCGAAGGCGGAATATACAAGTAGAGCCTATGTCGAGCCTGAGACGAACTCGAACAAATAGTAGAGTCAGCAACTCCCGAAATCTTGGTTAGAAGATCTAGCAGAACAATTGTAGCATCACAAAGGTATTCTCCTTCATTGCATTATTTGTTGTTGATCGATGCTTGGTGAGCCAGAGCATTTTGTTGAGGCTATGCAGGGAGATGAATCTATTAAGTGGGAGCTAGCAATGGAAGATGAGATAAAGTCCCTTCAGAAGAATAAAACATGGTCTTTAACCAAGCTACCGGAAGGAAAGAAAGTTTTGCAAAACAGGTGGGTCTATAGGTTGAAAGAAGAACTAGATGGCAAGCAAAAGATATAAGGCTAGACTCGTAGTGAAAGGGTTCCAACAAAGACAAGGAATTGACTTCACGGAAATTTTCTCTCCGTTGTCAAGATGACTACCATCGAGTTATCTTGAGTATAGTAGCTGCAGAAAATCTTCATTTGGAGCGAGTTAGATGTCAAAACTGCATTCTTACATGGGGATCTTGAAGAGGAAATTTTTATGACACAGCCAAAAGGTTTTGAAGTACAAGGCGGAGAAAATCTTGTATGCAAGCTTCATAAAAGTTTGTACGGATTAAAACAAGCGCCGAGACAATGGTACAAGAAGTTTAATGAGTTTATGAGAAACTCGAGATTTCGCAGATGTGAAGAAGATCACCGTTGTTATGTGAAGAAATATGTTGATAGCTATATCATTCTTGCCTTATATGTTGACGACATGTTGATTGTTGGAGCTAATATGGCAGAAATTGACAAGTTGAAGAAACAATTGTCGGAGAGCTTTGAAATGAAGGATCTTGGTCCAGCCAAGCAAATTCTTGGTATGAGAATCTCCCGAGATAGAGATAAAGGTATTTTGAACTTATCTCAAGAAAAATATATAGAAAAATTGCTTAGCAGATTCAATGTTGGGAATGCTAAAACCAGGAATACACCTTTGGGAACTCACTTAAAGTTTTCAAAGAGGCAATCTTCTCAAACAGAAGAAGAAGAAAGTCACATGTCTAAAGTGCCATATGCATCTGCAGTAGGAAGCTTGATGTATGCTATGGTTTGCACCGGACCGGACATAGCACATGCAGTGGGAGTTGTGAGCGATTTCTATCAAATCCCGGAAAGGAGCATTGGGAAGGAGTGAAGTGGATATTCGGATATTTGAAAGGCACTTCAAAGATGCATTTGTCTTTCAAGAGAAGTAATCTCATTTTACAGGGGTTTTCTGATGCGGACTTGGGAGGTGATCTTGACGGTAGAAACAAGCACAACGAGGTTATATTTTTACATTGGGTGGTACAGCTATCGGTTGGAAGTCTAAACTTCAAGGAAGGGTCTCTCTCTCAACCACTGAAGCGAGTATGTAGCTATCTCGAAGCGGCGAAGGAGATGATATGGTTGAAGAACCTTCTAAAAGAATTAGGAAGAGAACAAGATGGTTCTCCGTTGTTTAGTGACAGATCAAAGTGCTATTTGTCTTGCTAAAAATCCAATCCTTCATTCCAGATGTAAGCACATTGAATTGAAGTATCATTTTATCGAAACCTGATAAATGATGGAGACTTGAGTTTGTTGAAGATTCCAGGTGCGAGAGAATCCCGCTGATATGTTGACCAAGACTGTTACAACAACTAAGTTGAGGCTTTGCATTGCCTCAACTCGGCCTTCGAGCAAATTGATGATGAAGGCACTACACTAGGTGGTAACGTAAATCAAACTCCAAGTGGGAGAATTGTTAGTATTATGGTGCTTGATTTAGTCCCACATTGATTAGGATTGTGAGATGAGGTTCTCTATTTTGTTATATAAGCAACCCTATGTAAAGTTTGAGATACACACAGAAATAAAAATACTTCCTAGTGTAGTCGTGGACGTAGGCATACATATTTTAGCCGAACCACGTTAAAATTCTTGTGTCGTTTATTTTTCTCTCCTTCATTCTTTCCTTTATTATTGTCTTGTTCCTAACATGCATGTGTATTGGGTTCACTTGATCTATCTAATAACAATTTGAATATAGATCTTCCAGTGATAATCCATCACTTGTCTGGATGTGCAAGAGACACACTACAAGAATTGAACTTGGTTGGAAATAAGATCAACGGTTCATTACCCGATCTCTCGGTATTTTCAAATCTTAAAGTGTTGGATCTTTCGGCAAATCAGTTAAATGGCAAGATAGCAGAAGGTAACAAATTGCCATCTAAGTTGGAGTCTTTGTCAATCCGATCCAACTCATTCGAAGGTGGAATTCCAAAATCATTTGGGAATGCATGTGTATTACGCTCACTGAACATGGCTAGTAATAACTTCAACTGTGAGTTTTCGATGATAATTCATCACTTGTCGGGATGTGCTAGATATTCATTGGAAGAGTTATATCTACATATGAATCAAATCAACGGTACACTACCTGACCTCTCGACATTCACATCTTTAAGAGGATTATATCTTTACGGAAACGAGTTAAATGGAGAAATTCCTAAAGATATTCAATTTCCACCTCAACTGGAACTGCTAGATATGCAATCCAATTTCTTAAAAGGTCTGCTCACTGACTACCATTTCACTAATATGTCTAATTTAAAGACATTGGAGCTATCTGACAACTCATTGGCCTTGGAATTTACTCAAAATTGGTTCCCATCTTTTCAGTTGGAGTACATAGGATTGAGATCTTGCAAACTAGGTCCAAAGTTTCCCAAATGGTTGCAGACGCAAAATGAATTTTATTTTATTGACATTTCAAATGCTACAATATCAGATATTGTTCCTAATTGGTTTTGGGTTAAAACACAATTGCAAGAATGGATGAGAGTGAATATTTCATATAACAGTCTACGAGGGATAATTCAAAATTTTCCACAAAACAATCCTTATTATTTCATATCCCTTGGATCAAATCAATTTGAAGGCCCTATTCCTATGTTTATAAGGAATTCTCTATTTATCGATTTATCCAAAAATAAATTCTCGGATTTTCATTCCTTTTTATGTGCAAATGGTACAATTCAAACTTTGTACCAATTACACCTTTCAAATAATCAATTCTCCACACAAATCCCAGACTGCTGGAACAATTTCAAGTCATTAGCTTATTTAGATTTGAGCCATAATAAACTTTCAGGAAAGCTTCCTACATCAATGGGATCGCTTCTTGATCTTCATGCATTGTTTTTGAGAAACAACAATTTAGTAGGAGGAATTCCTTTCTCATTGAGGAATTGCACAAAGCTAGTAATGCTAGATATGTCAGAAAACAACTTAGCAGGGTTCATCCCTGACTGGATTGGGACAATAAATGAATTGCAAATTTTACGTTTGAAAAGGAATCGATTCTATGGGAGTTTACCATTACAGATTTGTCATTTAAGAAAGATTCAACTCTTGGATCTCTCACTAAACAACTTATCCGGGAAAATTCCAAAATGCATAAAAAACTTCACTTCAATGGATCAAACAACATCTTCAATACACATTGAAGATCATATGTATTTTCTCAACAACAACAGTCATTTTGCAGGCAATCAGCCATACTATTTGAATGCTGTCTTGATGTGGAAAGGTTCAGAACAACTGTTTGAGAATAAGTGTTTATCACTTTTAAAGAGCATTGATCTTTCAAGCAATCATTTTTCAGAAGAGATTCCTACGGAAATAGAGAAATTATCTGGATTGATTTCATTGAACTTGTCAAGAAACAAATTGATTGGAAAAATTCCTTCAAATATTGGAAAGTTGGCATCACTTGATTCTCTTGATTTGTCAAGAAACCAGCTTGTTGGTTCAATTCCTCCAAGTCTTGCTCAAATTTATGGACTTAGTGTGTTAGATTTGTCACATAACCATCTAACTGGAGAAATTCCAACCGGCACACAGTTGCAAAGTTTTAATAGTTCGAGCTATGAAGATAATCTAGATCTTTGCGGCTCACCACTTAAGAAATTGTGTATTGATGGACAGCGAACACAAGAACCAAAAGTTGAAGCTGATGGGGAAGAATATTCAATTTTGAGCAATGAATTTTTCATGAGTATGGGAATTGGATTTGTTATAAGTTTTTGGGTGGTGTTTGGCTCAATCTTATTCAAGCGTTCATGGCAACATGCCTATTTCCATTTCTTGAATAATTTAGCAGACAATATTCATCTCAAAGTAGCGCTCTTGACTAAAGTGGTGGAGATGACTTCAAATTAACAGGTAATGATATATATACATTATATATTTTCACACATTATTATTTCTAAAATATATTTTATCTTAATTGTATTAAATATTAGTGAGTCTCATCCTTTAAAACCTAAAATAGTATTTTTTTCCCTACTTATTCAGGGACATGAAATAATATCTGCATAGCAAGAAACTTGTTTGTCTCCTGTTTCTGAACCCTATTTTTATCTTTTCAGTAACTAATAAAAAACTTTTGATAAAGAATATATTTTGGAAGATGTTATAATCTTTTTAACTTTTAAAACAACAAAATCCTGTAAGTTGTTCTGGTTTTCTATTTTTAATTTTCTACATTTTGCATCTTTTCTCTCTCATTTTTACTTTCAAAAAAATTAGACTTAAATTTTTTACAATTAAAATTTAAAAGTTAATTAAAAAATACGATATCATATACCATTTCAATAATAACTTTCGTTTTTTTTATTGTTGTGTATTTTAAAGTGGGTAAATTATGCGGGAAAAAAAAAATACTCAATTTAAATCAGAATCTTATTATTTTTCACTCTTGAAGCTAATTTTACTATCTAGCACTTGAATATTTTGTGCAATTGATGTGGAGATTGGGATGTATTTATGTGAAAACTTAATATTAGTGTTTTGGGATTTAATGTGCATCAATTATTTTCAATTGATTGTTAGTTTTTTTTTTTTTTTTTTTTTGCATAACTTATGTTTTTAAACTATTTTTTTATACTATGTTGTGATGGGATTTTTAACATTGGGGAGACTTAACATTGTTTGTATCGTTTTACAAAAACAAAAAAATTTCAGGGACTTGAAGAATCCGTCCTCTTGAGTGACTCCAACATTTGAGCTTGTTAATGCTTGGACAAGGAAATAAGTTGGAATTTATGCTTGGACAAGAAAAAAAAACCTTCATTGTAAATTGAGGCAAGTTTAATGCTTGAATAGATTAGTAATAACCTTCATGAAGAAGATTATACTTTTATTAGTGTTGTGCTTGTAATGAAATATAAATTCAGACATTTGTCTCAAGAAAGTTTCAATATTTTATGAGTGCCTCACTTTCAAATTTTAAAGATTAGAGAAATAAGAAAAATACATTGTCCAAATTTGGGACCAATAAATCCATCATCGCCCAACTGTCATAGAAGGAAATAAATTTATCATCCATTCACGAAATTGAAGTTGATAGTTCTTTATAAATTGTAACAAGTCAATTGTAATTAATATAGTTGATAAAAATGGTTGCATCTTCTAATGACTTTTGCATCTTGTTTTCCTGGTTTAGCTTTCTAAAAATTAATTTTAAAAAATATATTTTATAATTAAATTTTAAAATCTAGTGAACAAAATTGGAACAAAAAATTATCAAATAAGATAAAATAGTTATTATTTGAGAAATAAATAAAAGATTAAAACAAATAAAAAAAACTAACATTTGATCTTGTTAAGGCTTTAACAATTTGAATGCATGTTTTGATTGATTGAAGTTTTACTTTTGAATTAATTTGATGGGTTGACGAGAGACTTCTCAGGTCTTCCCTCCAAAATGTCAATAGTCTTGAATTGATATATAACCTTATAGACTACTACGTTGACTTCAAAGTTATAACTTACTCAATTAAATTATTTAAATATTAGTTTTTTGTATGTGTTTTATTCAAAAAGAACAGTTATTATTTTAAGTTTTAAGACATAATTCAGAACTAAACTTTTGGCATACTAAAGATGTATGAGCCATCAATTATTTATGTGATGTATCCAATTACCAGTAAACTAAATTTTTAACACTTTTACAGGAGAAAAAGTTACACCTTATCCACAAATTTTAACTTTTAACCTAATAATAAATACTCTATCAAATACATTACAAAAGTTAAAGTCATTTGAACATTTAAAACTATTCATTCATTTACATGCAGTAATAACAATACAACATTAATTCACCAACGTAACAACCAAATACACTAATTTACAATTAAATAAAAACCCAAAAACCTAGACATGAGAAAGAAGACACTTTCTACAGTCAACACCTAGACAATCAATACATGGATTATCTAGATTACCTCCAAGTCCAAGAACTCATATTTCAAAAAAAAAAAAAAAAACATACAGTAAACTCAAACTCACACAAACTCACACAAACTCATCTTAAAGGGAAAAAAAAAACTCCATATACATGCCCTAGATAGCGAAAAAAAAAAATCTTCACCGTGACAATTATAATCTACAATTTATTGTCACTGCACTATATTTATTATTATAATAAAATTATTATACATAAACAAGTTTATGAATGTTGAAAATTTTGATATCACAGTTATTTGTAAAGTATAAAATATTATTGAATTAAATATACTTTAAATATATGCAAAATATAAATGTGTTTAGTTAAATTAAACAAAATTATATATACATAAACTTGAAATATATTTCAGTTAAATTGATTTTATCTGTTATGTAAATAATTGAAAACTAATAATGAATTAAAAATAATTCCATCCACATAAATTATATATATTAGGATATTATGGAACATAATATCCCATATTATGTCGATGAAATCAATTTTAAATAATTAATGATACTCTCTAAGTGAGAGAATAAGAGAGAAGAATATAAATATTTTTACCATTATTATATTCATATAAGAGGTGATCAAAATAATTTTTCTTATATTAAGTTATCATTATTATATTGATATATTTGTTCCTTATTTTTTTGGGTTAGTTTTTATTCAATGGGTCGATGCATGAGTTGTTCTCTCTCTCTCTCTCTCTCTCTCTCTATATATATATATATGTGTGTGTGTGTGTGTGTGTGGTTATGGACAGTGCTAAACTAAGGAATCTAGTTTGAGTTCATTCATCCATCACTTTGCCTTTGTCATGATAACAAACACTACACAACATCAATGAGGAATCCAGTTAGTTTCGGTTTCATTATGTTTATGGTGTGTCTGCTGCTGCAGGTTGTTTACGGTGAAGAGGAAATAAGGTGCATACCAAAGGAGAGGGAAGCACTCCTCCAATTCAAGGGTGCCCTTGTTCTTCACAAAGGTATGCTCTCATCTTGGTCCGCTCCTCACTGTTGCCAATGGGAGGGGATTCGCTGCAGCAACCTCACCGCCCATATTCTAAGTCTCGACCTTCACGGAGAATATGTCTATTATGGAAGCTCGCAACGTTATATCAGCGGAGAGATTCACAAGTCGTTAATGGAGTTGCGAGAATTAGAGTATTTGAACCTCAGTTCCAATTATTTTCCAGACAGCCACATTCCAGAGTTTCTTGGTTCATTGAGAAACTTGAGATACCTTGATCTGTCATATTCTAAGTTTGTTGGAAAAATTCCAAGTGAGTTTGGGTCTCTTTCTCATTTGAAATACTTAAATCTTGCTTGGAATTCTCTGGAGGGTTCAATCCCTCGTCAACTTGGAAATCTTTCCGAGTTGCACCATCTTGATCTCACGGGCAATTCTTTTGAAAATATCCCATCTCAGCTTGGGAACCTTTCAAACTTACAGGAGCTCTATGTTGGAGGGTTTGATGGTGCTCCCACAATTGACGAAGGAGGCCAGTGGTTGTGTAATCTTATTTCTTTAACTCATCTTTACCTGCGGTCCATATCTAATCTTCATACTTCTCATAGTGTGTTGGAAATGATTGCCAAGCTACCAAAACTAAGAGAGCTAAGATTAGTGGATGGTAGCCTTTCCGATCACTTCATTCTGTCACGGAGACCTTCCAAGTTTAATTTTTCTGCTTCTCTCTTGGCCCTTGATCTTTCCTGGAACACCTTCACGTCACCAATGATATTTCAGTGGGTGTCAAACATCACTTCCAACCTTGTTGAACTTGACCTTAGCTATAACCTCTTGGAGGGTTCCACATCAAGTCATTTTGGCACGTCGCTTAAACACCTTGACCTCTCCTCTAATGTATTCAAGGGTGCGGATTTGAAGTCCTTCATGAATATATGCACCTTACATTCTTTAAACCTGTATAGAAACAATTTGTCTGAAGATCTCCCATCCATTCTCCATAATTTGTCTGGTGGATGTGTTAGATACTCATTACAAGAATTGGATCTGACATATAATCATATCATTGGCACTTTGCCTGACGTTTCAGTATTCTCTTCTTTGAAAGCATTACTTCTTGATCGAAATCAATTAAGTGGAAAGATACCTGGATACATCAAATTACCATGGAAGTTGGAGGTTTTGTCAATTAGCTCCAACTTCTTGGAAGGTGGAGTTCCAAAATCATTTGGAAATTCATGTGCTTTGAGATCAGTGGATATCTCTAGTAATTATTTGAATAGAGAGTTTCCAATGATAATTCAGCAATTTTTTGGGTGCGCTAGATACTCACTACAAGAATTGAACTTGGCAAGAAATCAAATTAATGGTACGTTAACTGACCTTTCAAAATTTTCATCCTTGAAAAGATTGGACCTTTCATGCAATCATGTTAATGGTGAGATACTAGAAGGTAACAAACTGCCACCATCTCAGTTGGAGTATGTGAAGAAAGAAGTCCCACATCCGTGGGAACTTCAATTGGGGGCTCTCCTCCTTCCTATAAAAGGAGCCCCTCCCCCCTTATTTCAAACATCCCAAATATTTCTCCTTCTTTCTCTTTTACTTTCCTAGTATTGGTAATTTCCAATTGTAAAAGGAAAGAGTGGTCATTATAAAATTTTCATTTTTGCCTATTGTCAGGGTTATTTTTCTCGTCTCTATTTTAGTTGTGTGTATTTATGCTGGTACTCTGATCCTAACAGTGGTATCAGAGCTGCGTTCGAGTTCCGTTGCGCGTCACTAGAATAGTGTTGGTAAAATTCCGAGTATGCTACGTGGTTGCGGTTTAATCTGATCTTCCACATCGAAAGGAGTTGTTACTTGGAAAATGTGTGGTAGTGTGAAAGTACTATTGAGGAAAGTTACGGCTAGGAAAGACTTGGTACTTAAGCGTGTCCATTAGTGACCCACCTCTCTTTCCCGGGAACCTACTTGGTGTACTTGGTTCACGGTTTACTACTATTGTTCCGGTAGACAATACTATTTATAAGTGATAGTTGCATAAGTCTGTATACAACCATGGCAGCAAAGTACGAGATAGAGAAGTTCAACGGGAACAATTTCTCGTTGTGGAAATTGAAGATGAAGGCAATCTTGAGAAAGGACAATTGCGCAGAAGCAATTGAGGGAAAACCTGCAGAAATGACGGATAAAGATTGGAAGAAAATTGACGGCAACGCTATTGCAAATTTACACTTGGCAATGGCGGACTCGGTTCTATCCAAGTGTTGCGGAGAAAGATTCGCAAAGGAGATTTGGGATGCCCTCATTAAATTATATGAGGTGAAGTCACTTCACACAAGGATATTCCTGAAGAGGAAACTCTATACTCTTCGGATGAGTGAGTCCACATCGATGACGGACCACATCAACCAACCGAACACCTTGTTTGCCCAATTAGCAGCAGCAAATTTCAACATAGTTGAGAATGAGCGTGCGGAGCTCTTACTTCAGAGCTTGCCAGACTCGTATGATCAACTCATCATCAACATTACAAATAATAATATTGAAGGACAACTACACTTTGACGATGTTGCCGGAGCTATTCTAGAAGAAGAATCCAGGCGAATGAATAAGGTAGAAAGTTCTAAACAAGCAGAAGTTTTGATGATGATGAGAGAAAGATCAGCAGAACGTGGCTCAAGTGGGAGTCAAGATCATGGCAGATCTAGCTCTCGAAATAAGAAGACTTTCAAATTTAAATGCTACTACTGTGGCAAGAAAGGGCACACGAAGAAAGAGTGTTGGAAGAGGAAGAATGAAGAATCAACCTCACAAGGTTGCATTGCGAGTACTTCGAGAGGAAGGAGTAATTCGGTAAGCGAAGCGACGAATCGACTCTAATGGCGGAAACGAATTTCATGACAAGTGGATAATGGATTCAGGTGCAACTTGGCATATGACCCCACACCGAGATTGGTTTCAAACCTACAAGCCTATCTCGGGTGGATCCGTGTTCATGGGAAATGACCATGCATTGGAGATTGCTGGAGTTGGTACTCGTCAAATTAAAAATGTATGACTGGTACTATTCGCACAATCCAAGAAGTACGACATGTGAAGGACTTGAAGAAAAATATATTGTCTATAGGGCAATTGGATGACCTCTACTGCAAGATCCATGTTGAAGGAGGAATCTTAAAGGTAGTGAGGGGAAACATAGTTGTCATGAAAGCGAGAGAAAATCATGGCAAACTTGTATGTGCTTATGGGAGACACCTTGCAAGAAAATCATGCAACAACTGCGTCGACAAGCCAAGAAGAAGCGGCGATAACGTGGCACCGTAGACTTGGACATATGTCGGAGCGAGGTCTCGCAGATTCTTGCGGAACGTGATCTCATACCCGGGCTCAAGAAGGTCGATTTACTCCTTCGTGAGCATTGTGTGACAAGCAAACAACACGAGTTGAAGTTTGCAAGAACCACCACAAGGAGTAAGCAAACTTTGGACTTGATCCATTCTGATGTCCGGGAATCACCGGAATTATCTCTCGGAGGAGCAAAATATTTTGTGTCGTTCATCGATGACTACTCGAGGAGATTATGGGTATACCCTATCAAGAAGAAGTCCGAAGTATTTGCGCGGTTCAAAGACTTCAAAGCACAAGTAGAACTTGAGACCGAAGGAGAATCAAGTGTTTGAGGACGGACAATGGAGGAGAATATGTAGATGGAGATTTTCTAGCATTCTCGCAAGCAAGAAGGAATTGTGAGACAATTTTTTGTTCCACACACGCCTCGCGAGAATGGTGTAGCAGAGCGGATGAATAGAACTCTTCTAGAGAGAACCGGAGCTATGCTTGCAAACTGCGAGCATAACAAAGTCTTTCCGGGCGAAGCCGTGAATACTGCCTGTTACTTGATAAATCGGTCTCCATCAACAGCAATTGGGTTGAAAACTCCTATGGAAATGTGGAGTGGAAAATCAACCGATTATTCTTCCTTACATGTGTTTGGTTGTCCCGCGTACGTGATGTACAACACCCAAGAAAGGACGAAGTTGGATCCAAAATCCAGGAAATGCATCTTCTTGGGATATGCCGACAATGTGAAGGGGTATCGCTTGTGGGATCCCACCGCCCACAAAGTTATTGTTAGCAGAGATGTCGTCTTTGCGAGAAAATGAACTGCAAAGCAAGCGGATAAATGACAGCTCGGAAAAGGACAAGACTATAGTACGGATAGAGAAGAAGACTTCGGAACATTCCTCCGAGTCGAGGAGGAGCATGAAGAACATGAGCCAAATGAGGTGGAAGAAGGAGAACTCCGACGATCAACAAGAGAAAGAGTCGGACCATCTTGGCATTCACAATATGTGATGGCAAGTCATGATGCGTATTGTCTCCTAAGTGAAGAAGGAGAACCTTCAACTTTTCAAGAGGTCGTGAGTGGTTCAGAAGCTCCTCTATGGATGGCTGTTATGGAAGAAGAAATTGAAGCTCTTCATAAAAACAAGACATGACATCTTGTGGAACTTCCAAAAGGTCGCAGAGCCATTGGTTGCAAATGGGTCTATAAGATCAAGAGAGATGTCAATGATCAAGTAGAAAGACATCGTGCTAGACTGGTGGTAAAAGGATATGCTTAGAAAGAAGGCATTGATTTCAACGAGATATTCTCACCAGCTTGTTAGATTGACAACAATCGAAATTGTCCTGGCGATGTGTGCTTGCATTTGATTTACATCTTGAACAATTGGATGTAAAAGCTGCTTTTCTTCATGGAGAACTTGAAGAGGAAATATATATGCTCCAACCAGAAGGCTTCAAAGAGCAAGAAAACTTGGTTTGCGGGTTGAACAAATCTCTATACGGTCTAAAGCAGGCGCCAAGGTGTTGGTATAAGAGATTTGATTCCTTCATTATTAGCCTCGGATACTACAGACTAAGTTCGGACCATTGTACTTACCACAATAGGTTTGAAGAAAATGATTTCATCATATTGTTGTTGTATGTGGATGACATGTTGGTGGTAGGCCCTAACAAAGCTCGAATCCAAGAATTGAAGGCACAATTGGCTAGGGAGTTTGATATGAAGGACTTGGGACCAGCAAACAAGATTTTAGGGATGCAAATTCACCGAGACGGAAAAGATAGGAAGATTTGGCTTTCTCAAAAGAATTATTTACTTAAGATCTTGCGGCGCTTCAACATGCAAGATTGCAAGCCAATTTCTACCCCACTTCCTGTCAACCGTAAGTTATCCTCAAGTATGAGTCCTAGCAGTGAAGCGGAGAGGATCGAAATGTCTCGAGTACCGTATGCATCAGCGAGTGGGAAGTCTTATGTATGCCATGATTTGTACAAGACCGGACATTGCACAAGCAAGTGGGAGTGGTTAGTAGATTCATGGGGAATCCTGGTGGAGAACATTGGCAAAATGTGAAGAGGGTCCTTAGGTATATAAAAGGAACCTCAAATGTTGCATTATGTTATGGAGGATCAGAAGCAGTTGTCAGAGACTATGTAGATTCGGATTTTGCAGGTGATCTGGATAAAAGGAAGTCTACTACTGGTTATGTGTTTACCATCAATGGAGGGGCAGTAAGTTGGTTATTCAAGTTACAAGATGTGGTAGCTCTGTCTACTACGGAAGCAGAATACATGGCTGTCACCCAAGCATGTAAAGAAGCTATCTGGATTAAAAGAATAATGGGGGAACTTGGTCACAAGCAACAACAAATTGTTGTGTACTGTGATAGTCAAAGTGCCTTACACATTGCAAGGAATCCAGCCTTTCATTCGAGGACAAAACACATAGGAATAAGATATCATTTTGTTCGAGAAGTAGTAGAAGAAGGAAGTGTAGATTTACGGAAGATCCACACTCGAGAAGAACCTAGCAGATGTAATGACAAAGCCGGTTAATGCTGACAAGTTTATATGGAGTCGATCCCTCTATGGCCTATCGGAAGCATAAGCAACATGGATGTGAGAGAAGAAGACATAGTGTGAAGATTAGATTAATTTCATCAAAATCTTCAAGTGGGAGATTGTGAAGAAAGAAGTCCCACATCCGTGGGAACTTCAATTGGGGGCTCTCCTCCTTCCTATAAAAGGAGCCCCTCCCCCCTTATTTCAAACATCCCAAATATTTCTCCTTCTTTCTCTTTTACTTTCCTAGTATTGGTAATTTCCAATTGTAAAAGGAAAGAGTGGTCATTATAAAATTTTCATTTTTGCCTATTGTCAGGGTTATTTTTCTCGTCTCTATTTTAGTTGTGTGTATTTATGCTGATACTCTGATCCTAACAGAGTATTTGTCAATGCAATCAAACTTACTAGAAGGTGGAATTCCAGTATCATTTCGAAATGCATGTGCTTTGCGTTCATTGGATATGTCTTTTAACAAATTGAGTGGAGAGTTTTCAATGGTAATCGATCACTTGTCTGGGTGTGTTAGATATTCATTGGAACATTTAAATCTAGAGATGAATCAAATCAATTAATGGCACACTATCTGACCTCTCAACTTTTACCTCTTTGAAAAGTTTGTATATTTCAAGAAACAAGCTAAATGGAGTGATCCCTACAAATATTCAATTTCCACCTCAATTGCATGAACTAGATAT